CCTTTAGAAAACGGTTTTTATAACAGAAAAAAATTTCGGCTATCAATAGCCGAAAAACCGTTTAAGGGATAATAAAATGTAATAGCTAGGGGTAAGTAAATAAGTGGGGGGACAACTCGATGTTACACATATAGATTTTGTGAATCCAAAACTGTCACGCACTATGAAATTACTAGTATTTATTAGTAGAAATAAATAAAACGCAAAACACGTACATATTGTAAAATAAAATTTTATATATCACCACACGTTAAAATTTTTTTCCTTGTAAGAACAAATCTTCAGCTTCCTTTTAATATAACTTTTAGTAAAGAAACTCTTCTATAGCTTTTTTAAAAAAGGATCGGTTATAAAAAATAAATTTTCTTTTGTATTTTGAATGTTACACATATTACTTGCAAGTTTAAAATATATATACATACAATTTTAAATATTATAAAACTTCTTGTTCTTAATCTTGTAAGAACTTGGTTTTCTTTATTAACATTAAATAGTATAAAATAAAAATTTTTTTTTTACATTTCTCCACGAAAAGGCATAAAGATTTTTAAAAAACACTTTTAACTAAGTATATAGAATAACTTATTGATTTAACAAGGTACCTTGATGTGTGACTTGTTTGAACAACCTAGTATTGCGCCTTGAAGTTGGTAGAGTTCATAAACTTTACTTCTGTCTCCGATTCATTTTTTCATAATTTCTCTTTATGACAAATATCTTAGTAAAACTCTCTATGACGAACATCTTAGTAAACACTCTCTATCCATAACAAACAAATTACATATAGAGATGGAGGGTTGGTTGTATGGAGGGTGAACTATATATATACTACTAATATAAAAAATTTTTTTGTCAAAAGATTGTTGAATTTATTTATTTAAAATATATATCCTCTCCATGTATAAAATTAATTTTACATTACGACCAACCTTTAATGTTAAAGTATGCACATGAAGTGTATGTTTGTAGTAGTAAGCCACCTATTATTTATTGTCCGGTAAGATACTTTATATATAATTTCTATTTATTTTATTTTTTTTTTTTGAGGATTCTGCCATCTTTAACATAAAAAAAAATTTTAATTTTTAATAACGTATGTATAAATTACTTATATTATTTATATTACTTATATTACTGCTTTACCTGTTCATTATTCACTCACTACTTATGATTATTATAATGGTTTTAATTTCATTATCACTTGTAGAATTTTAACTACAAGAAGTAAAATGTCATTTAATATTAATATATCTTTTATTTATTTAATATAGTGTCTAAAAGTCATTTTTGCTACAAATTTGACAAAACTCAGAAAAACATAAAGGTATTTGCCTTGTGAACTCAACTTTGGTGGATCGGCTGCTTCAAAACACTTGTGTATAAAGTTTTATATGTAAAGTTTGATTTTTTACTATGAAATGCGCATCATTTTTAATTTTTAAGGCGTGACAGTTTTGGATTCACAAGATCTATATGTGTAACATCGAGTTGTCCCCCCATTTATTTACTTACCCCTAGATAATACTACAGTCAGGATTATTACCAAATTTGGAAATCGAATCTAGAAAAATTGGAGCTCCTTTGTCGATCAATTTATATGTGTGGCAAATGAGTTAACGTGATACTTTGCTGCCTTTTGAAAATCTTTTAAATAATAATAATAATAATCGAAATAAACAGTATTGAACTTGCCTTTTCATAACTACTAAAAATCTACAAAAACCTATTAATTTGTTCAAAGTAAGCCTTTACATAAATTTAAAGAAATTTAAGTGCCAGGAGTTTAAATTTTAAGTTTTTTTTTCTCTCTTTGAATTTTAGTGGTAAATGTCAAGATCAATTGCACACTGCTTATTTGCTGCACTGAGAAATATTCAGAGAATCATTTGAGATAAATATGTTAAATGCATTAGGGAATAAAGTAAAGATCGTTTAAACTATTTGTTAAATATTTATTCAAAGTATGCTTTTACAAAATTAATGATGTAACATAATTTATTCATATTTTTATAGCTCCAATCATCTTAGAATTATTTACAAGTAATAATGAAAACAATTATAATAATGAATGAATGATAAGCAGGTAAAGAAGTAATATATATACACACACACATACAAAATTTGGCATAGACTTTATTTATATCCACAAATTAATTTATAATTATAATATATTTCATGATACTATTTATTAATTTTATTAATTTTAATAACAAGATTCTTGATGAATGAGTGACAGGTTGATAACTCAAACATTTCATCGGTATATTTAACCATTATGAAAAAAGTTATTTTTATGGTAATTTTATGATTATAATTTGAAGATTATTTTTTGATAGACTTGTAAAGCAGTTAAAAATAAACGTAATCATAAATTTTGGAGGTTATATGACCATTTAATAAAGCCTTCACCAAGTTTTCTTCATAAAAAAGCATTATTTATTAATTTATTTTTTCAAATAAAAGATCTGCATACAATTAGCCAATCATTTTTGTTTTGTTTTTTTTCTAAAGATTTCTAGATTGTCTATCCTTACAGTATTTGGAAATTCCATATTTGGTAATAATTCTGACTGTATTAATATTAATATGTTTATTATACAAATCAAATCTGATCTTGATATGTAATTTGAGTTTAGTAAGCGTGTGTCACTACTATTACAAATTTTTTTTTTGTTATTTTATATATAAATATATATAAAAAATAAAAAAATGTAAAAAAGTTTTTAATCAATTTAGTTAGTAAAATAAATATGGTATCAAATAAATCTGATTTTCAATCATCACCACCACCACCGTCATCATCATCTTCTTCTAATGGTTCTACCATAAAAAAACCTAGTGTTAAAAATGGAAATTCTATAATTCATTTTGATAGCATTGAAGAGGCATTAAAAGATTTTGGTAAAAAAATTAAAATTCTTTGTGTAAAAACAACACCAAATTAATTTTTATTTATTTATTTTTAGCTGAAGGAAAATTTGTTTTAGTTGTTGATAATGAAGAACGTGAAAATGAAGGTGATTTAATAATCGCAGCTGAAAAAGTAACAGCTGAAAAAATGGCATTTATGATTAAATATACAAGGTAACAAAAAATATATAAAAATATAATTATAAGTTTTATTTAGTAGCACATTATTCTAACACTGGTATTATTAAATATAGTGGATTAATATGTGTACCAACTTCACCTGAAAGATTAGATCAACTTGAAATACCATTGATGGTACCCAATAATAATACTGAAAAATTAAAAACCGCATATACAATATCTGTTGACTATAAACATAGTTAAGCATCATATTAATTGTATATATGATCTATTTATATTTATAATCTATTAAACAACTATTAAAATAATATTTATTTTTATAATCATAATCATAATGATTATTATTGTTAGATACTACAACAGGTATATCAGCACATGATAGAGCTTTAACTGCTAGATGTTTGGCAAATCCTGTTATAACAAATCCTAATGATTTTAATAGACCTGGTCATATATTTCCATTAAGATATACTCCAGGAGGTGTTTTAAAAAGGATAGGACACACTGAAGCATCAATTGGTAAATTTCTGAATCAATCTTTCTCTCTCTCTCTTTTCCCTCTCCTCTCTTCTATCAATTTAACTCTTTACAATATTTAGATTTATGTAAATTGGCCAGATTACAGCCTGTTGGTGTTATTTGTGAATTAGTTAAAGATGATGGATCAATGGCACGTCGTGATGATTGTCGTTTATTTGCTGATGAGCATGACTTGAAATTAATTACGATTGATGATCTGATTAAATATCGTTTAAAAAATGGACATTTAGAAATTTAATATTTTTTATTATTTATTTATTTAATTTTATAATTTTTATATATAAATCACTGAAGAATCCTGTCTATCATGTTGTGCGTGAATTTGGAATCTGTGTGAATGTCAAATTAGTCAATCAGAACTTTGTATCCAAACACCCTACCCCAAAATTTTTAATTATAAATTCACACAGTCGTATTCATATGGATTTTTCTTGATATAGAAATAAATTTACTTGTTTGTTTTATCATTATAAAAATATTAGAGTTGTTGAGATATGCTTTTAATGGTAGTGGTAGTATTGGATTAAAGGAATAAAAAATATCGAAAACATTATAATACACCCAAAGAACAAAATTCAAGTTAAAAAATACTAAACAATACTCAACTTCTCCGTTACAAATTATTTCACGTAACCTAGCCGAATCTACTACATATTCAAGTTTCTCTTTACACATGCATAATTGAACCAATAATTACTTATTGCTCCGGTGTACCATTAGTTTCGTGTAATAGTAATGTTTTTGATACTGTTGTACGTGAAAATGAAATTATGTGAATTCGCAATTCACATGTGAAATTCAAATTAGCCAATCAGAATTTCACCCCACTCCATAATTTCACATAATTTCAATTTCACATACAACACATTTTTTTTTAAAAAAAAAGTCATTCAAATACAGTAATTGATGACAATGATGAAAGTTTGACTAAAACAGAATTGAAGGCACAGACAGGAAAGACGTGGGGTCGAGATAAAGGTATTGCAAATTTTTTGTTCAAAATATCGAGTTAAATTTAAATTTAAATTTTTTAATTTCCTAATTTTATAATTTTACGTGCTTGAATGTATAGATATAACATATATTACTGTATTATGTTCAGCAATTATAATTATTTGTTGTCCAATTCTTGTGACATTGTTTTGGACCATTTGTACTCACTATCAATGTTCATTTTATGAGCCATTTCACCTTTTTGTAATGATTGTATTTTCCAAGGAATCTTTTAATGATTATTTTCTACAGAAACTACCAAGTTTTTCATGTGAGGGACTGCAGATTTATTTTGGATGGCTGATTTTCCAAGGATTACTTTATGCATTTTTACCGGTCAAAATTGGTTATGGACAACAAACACCAGCAGGACATATTCTACCATATAAAGTAATTTTATTATGATGACTATAATAATTTTTATATTATTCATAAACACAAATATAATTAAATATAGGTGAATGGGCTTTTGGCATGGGTTATAACACATTTGATCTTTATTTTTGGAGCATTTTATTTTGAATTATGGGAGGCATCAATTATCCATGATAAATGGGGAGAATTGTTTGTAGCAGCAAATATCTATGGGTTTTTCCTTACATTCTTTGCTTACATCAAAGCATATCACATCCAGAAGATCGTAAATTTTCTGGCAGTTTTATCTATGATCTATTGATGGGTATTGAGATGAATCTAAGATTTGGAAAATATTGGGATTTCAAACTGTTTCATAATGGAAGGCCTGGAATAATTTCTTGGACCCTAATAAATCTCTCATTTCCTGCCGCTCAATATAACAAAATTGGTATTATATTAATTTTTTGGGATGATGGATTTGATCATATTAATTACTATACATACCCATATTTTGCATGTGCATATATTTAGGGTATGTAACTAATTCAATGATTTTATTGAATTTTTTGCACTTGGTTTATGTTTTGGATTTCTTTTATAATGAATATTGGTATCTTAGAACATTTGGTAAATATTCTGTTACATGCATATAATCAATATATATATATATATATATATATATATATAAATATAAACATAATATGTGTGCATATATATAAATATTAAATATTGCACATGATCATTTTGGATTTTATTTATCATGGGGTGATACTGTATAGCTTCCATGGATGGTAAGGCTTTTAATCTTGTATTTAATTATAATGATTCTATTATTTCATACACATGCCTATATAAATTTTATATCTGGATAGTATACAATACAATCACATTATTTAGTTAGAAATCCAGTAGATTTGCCTTGGGTGAATTTCTTTGTTATTCTATCAATTGGATTGGCAGGATATTATATTTTTAGAGCAGTCAATCATCAAAAAGATATTATAAGAAAAACCAATGGTAATTGTAAGGTTTGGGGAAAACCAGCCAAAGTTATCAAAACACAATATTTAACAAGTGATGGAAAAATCCATTCAAGTCTTTTACTTGTTAGTGGATACTGGGGCAAGTATTAATTATAATAATGTTGACAATTAGAAGGGATTCATTTAACAAAATTTTTCTCTATGGGAAAATCAATAAAAAACAGGAATTTCACATCATTTCAATTATGTTGGAGATTTATTAATTTCTTTTGCTATGTGTCTTACCTGTGGATTTAATCATTTATTACCGTATTTTTATATAATCTACATGACAATTTTGCTGGTTCATCATATTTGGAGAGATGATGCATGTTGTAGGGGGGAGTATGGTAAATACTGGGAAGAATATGGGAAGATTGTCAAATGGAAATTATTTCTGGTGAGATTTTTTTAAAAATTGTATTTTTTTGGAGATATATTTATTAAAGAAAATTTTTTTTATTTTGGATTATTTAGTATATATATATTGATGGAATGTGATGTGTGATTGGTGGGTTAATTGAGGTTAGTTAATTGATTTATGTATGGGATGATGTATTTTTACTGCATTGAAAATTATTATTTTTTATAAAAAAAAAAATAGAAATTTATAGAAACATTAAATAAGAAAAGCCTTTTTACAAATTAATATAAAATAATGACTATGTTACAAAAAAAAAATAAAAAAAATCTAGTTAAAATCTAAATTTTTTTAGAAAATTAAGTCTATTTGATTTTTTATCAGAAGCTACAGTAGATCCACTCATTCCATCATCAAAAGAATCTTCAACATTTAATAAATTTTTATTCTTATTATTATTCTCATTATCTGTTATTTTAATTGTATAATCACTATTCCTTATTGATGGTGTTGTTGATCTATTAACTGTAGGTGAATATAATATTTTTGGTGTTGATGGAACATTACTATTATTACTATTATTACTATTAATCATATTGTTGTTGTTATTAATGGGCGATGATGGAGTATCATTAATTTTTGCCGGATAAAATATTAACATTAAAGAGACAAATACAGCCCAAATTGAAAAATTCAATTGAACCATAAGTAAATCTGCATAAATTTTGGTGATATTTAAATATTTGGCTGTTGTCAATCCATCAATTGATAACACTGTGAGTGATGCTGATCCTGAAAGCAATCCCAATGTTAAATATTGATTCATATACTATTATGAATAAATAAATAAATTAATTGATTATGACAATGTTTCCTTAAAGGAAACAAATTAAAATTAATTATTAATACTTACTCTGAAATAATTTAATTTACTGAGAACATTAACTGTTGGATTTAGGCGTCTTGTGTGCATTAATAGTTTTTTAAATCTATAATCAGATCTAAACCCTAGCAATGCAATTATCAACATAATTATACCATATGCAAATTGTGGTGCAATCTCGGAATTTAATTGATTTGACGAGAAAAAAAATTGTAATGTTGGGAAGAGAATTGCACTGCATATTGAAAACAAAATATATAATTTAAATTCTAGAATGATTTGGGAAAAGTCAATTATTAGCTATTTAATTAATGATTTGTTTTTTAATTTTAATTTTCTAAGTCAATTTTTTTTTTTTTTGCTTACCAAGACTTCCCATAAATGATGTTCTTGTCAAACTACTTGCGAGATAATTCCAAAATGATTGTAATAAAAATAACAAGCAACTAAAAAATCCAATTGAGCCAATTAGACAATCAATCAATCAATTAAATAATAAAATTATATATAAAAGCATATTTACGTTTGGACACTGAGATTGGCACAAAGAACGTAATTTATTGGCACAACAAAGTCTTGATTTTTTTTGCTCCAATATGGTTGAAGTTTCGGTTTGTATTCACCTGGATTAAAAGGGTCCGGTAAATATCCTTCTTGATATTTTATAACTACTATTGAAATATCATATATTGCTTCCAATGGACATATTAACAACAACAATAATGTTATTACCGATTTCTAAAAAAATATAACAAAACGAAATTTTTTTAATTAATTCAAAATTTCTACGAGGTATTTATCATATTATTATCATTATCATTATCATTATTACCAATTCGAATCTTTTAACACGATTCCACCGCAATGATGCAAACCTATCAATAAACCAAACGTGTTGTAAAAACCAAAGTGAAGTATATGATGTGGACATTGCACGGGCTTTTATTTTCAAAAAAAAGAAAATTAAAATTTGATTATTATTATTGAAATTGTCGTGACCATGTTGAAAACGAATTTAATGAAAATTTTAAACTTACATAAGTATGAAAAATCACTTGTATGAGTCATGGTATAATGATGGTGTGATGAAATTGAAGAAGTCGATGATTGAATCTCGGATTGGTAAGAGGAAGAGTAAATGAATGTGTATTTATTAAATAATAATATTAATAGTAATGATTACAGTTTGGTTTAAATTTTTTTTCTAATTTTTAATTTTTTTCAAAAAAAAAAAAAAGAAATTTAATTGAAGAAATAATAAAAAAATTTCACTTCTTAATTCATGCTTAAATATTCCAATACTTTTGTAATATATATATATAAGAATAAAACAGATTTGATGAATTGTTCAGCATTTCCTTCTTGAACAAAAAAGGCCGAGATACTGACTGACTTCCATTATTATGTGTTACTGTTGTGCTGAAAATAAAATCTATGTGAATTTGCAATTCACGTACGTGAAATTCAAATTAGCCAATCAGAATTTCATATCCAAACACCCCACCCAAAATTTTAATAGTTTCACATAGTTTCAATTTCACATACAACAACATTACCCAAATATATAAATAAATATGATGCATTGTGAAATTAGAACAATGTGACAAAATCGTCACACACACATATTTTTGATGTAAAAAGTAGTCGGCCGTTTTTTTTTAATTTATTTTGAATTTTGTTTATGGAATTAACACTTCTGATTTTAATTTAATTGATGCAATTGATCTAAAATTCCGTCAATCTACTTTATTAACCAAATTTAACCAACAAACTTATCAAAATATTATTTAAGAAGTAAATAAATCCCTTATTAAAAAATATAATTGGTTTCACTTTGTTTTTATTTTATTATTTTTTAATTTTAATTTTTAAAGGAAAATATATAATAAAAGGAATATTGGTTTTACTGGTTGGTTATTTTTTGAGATAATGACAATTGGTCAACTTCAAATACTAAAACAAAAATTTTTTAAAGTTTTATTGTTCATGACTCAAGTTTCAAAACTTATCGGTTAGTTTTTTCTTAAACTAAAACAGCATTTTGAAAATTCCAAATTTTGTAACTAAATGTGTTTTTCGTATTACATTATCAAATTTGACAAACTCTTACCACACCTACCTCGGTTACACGACAAGGTTTTTTAGATGATCCGCACTTTATCAGGATTTTTATAATTTGAATCATGAATTTATTTCAATTGGCTGACACATAAATTACCAACACTGTTATGAACACGGCATCTTTATTTAATTCGCAATTCGTGATAAATGTAATAATTACGATCAATTGTATATTGGCTCTGTGACCAAAATTTCAAAAAGCTGGAAGAAAATAACTAACCTGTATCGAATGTAAAATACCTTATGAATGTTCTAAACAAAATTTATAACAAAAAGTCCAAATTGTTCAGAAAAAGCTGAAAAAGATATTGGAAGACAATATTATTAGAAATGAACAACAAAATCACAATAAATAAAATAAATAAAATTACCAACGATGGAATTGAAGTATTCTTTTTAAAATACTATTGTTTCTAAAGATTGGAAATATCAATTAATTCAACCTCAAATGTTAAGGAAGACGTATCCCAACCCAAAGTGGTTGAAGTAAAAAACAACGAACTATTAAAAATAATAAATTTGGTAGTGCAACAACAAATATCAAATTTTTCACAAAAAATGCCTGAATGATATATCATACAGCCCAATGTGGTTAACAAAGAAGAGTTCAAGGAAGGTTATGAAGGATCGATATACATTTTATTTGATTTTCTTATTATTAACTCTGCATTTTACTGTCAATAGTCAGAATCTTGAATCGTTTTTTAATCTTAGAAATTTAGAATGACAAAAGGCTCACTTTAATTGTAAATCTTGTTTCAGTGAGTGAAATAAAGCCATATTCACAATATGGGGTAGAATGGAGAGCATTGTAATCTAATAAATTATAATTTGTTGTCATCATATTTGCTTTAGTGTTATAAATTCTATTATTATATTTAAAAAAGATAAGTTTATTGAAAAATGATATAACAGTTGATTTATCATGAACAGACAAGGGTATTTGAATATATAGTTAGAATCATTATTTAAAAGAATTTTATTGAGTATGAATATATTTAAATTTATATAATAATTAATATTCTAGTTTATATTACTGCTATTAATATTACTTACTATTGATACACTACTATTAGAATAAGAATTGTTACGCGACCATTATTATTATTATTATTATCATCATCATCGTCATTATTAAATCCTTTCTTTGTATATGATCATTTGATATTATCGTTATTATCGTTTATTTGAAAGTAAAAAATATTAAAAAAACAACAAATAAACAAATAGATAATTAATAAATAGCTTTTATCGCTTTTCCCTAAGTGAACAATTAATCTTACTATGAGTGAATTTACTCGAGCAAACATTATTTCTTTAAAAAAAATGTTTATTGTGTCTAAACACCTTTAAAAAGACAATACTGTATATTTAAAAGTTTTTTAAAAAAAAGATGCGCCCAATTATTTTTTCTATGGGATGAGAAACTTTGACTATAAACCTGGTATAATAATACAACTTGAAAACATTGCTAGAATGGGTATGAGGTTTTAATTTATTAATTAGTAGACACGTTTTGAGAAAAGTTATACTGTACATTTAAACAAAATTGATCGACATTTTTGAATGATCACGCGAGAGACCGTATCCTTAAGAACAAATTTAAATTTGTAAATTATCAACATCTTATAATAATAGACTGGGGATTTTCTTACTAAATTAATTTGTGTCACGATTAAATTATAAATTTGGGGCAAATTTTTTAAAAAAATGGCAAAAAAAGTTTTGTCATATTATGATGTTATACTTTATGAAGAGGTGATCTATTATCAAACTTTTCATATGAATATAACAATTATTAAATAAATAAATAAACAAATAGTCTTGTTATTTTAGGATGTAAAATTATTTGATGATTATAACTGGATCAATGATCAATGTATTGATTTTTATATAGAGTAAGTGATTGATAATTTTTTGATTGTTGGAGTGTGTATAATTAATAAATCTTTTTATATATATATATATATTTATTTATTTATTTAAGATATATTGAGAATAATTTTAAACAAAAAGCAAACTCTGATTTCCAGATATTTTTTCTTAGACCAGCATTAATTTACCTTATATCCAATGCTGCTGGTAAATTAGGAAACAATTTTGTGGATATTAATTAATTAATTCTAATTAAATTATTATTAATATTTATTAACCAACCTATTTATTAATTATATTTTAAAGATACAAAATATTTTAAAAATGTTATCCCAAATCAAGTATTTTCATCAGAAATATTTTTTATGATAATAAATAACAATTTAAATGTAAATCAACCAAGAGGTGGAACTCATTGGTCATTATTAATCTATGTTAAAGGGCTTAATACATTTTTTCATTTTGATAGTTGTCATAATATGAATGAAAAGATTGCTAAATTTAATGCACTTAAATTTTCAGAAATTATTAAAATTCAAGGTACTGAATAAAAATAACTATTAATGATTAATCAATCAGTCAATCAATTAATTCATAATATTTTATTTAGATTATAAATTCAAATATATGAAAACTTTGACACAAGAGAATGGTATATTATTTTAATATATTTTTTATTGCATATTCAATAATCACACACTCACTAATCATCTATTACTTATCACATTATAATTAGGCACAGGTAAATAAAAATAAATAATACATTTTCTATTAATACTAATTACTAATATTCTTCTATTATTTATCATTATATTATAGAATGTGGAATATATGTTTTATCTTTTATGGATGTACTTTATAAAAGATTCTTGGATTATTCATCATTAGACAAATTAGATGTTGAGAAATTACTTGAAATCAGTCGTGATGATGTTTTGCCTGCTAAAATAATGAGAGAAAACTTGAGAAATCTGGTTGAGAAACTTAAAATAAAATGATTAAATTAAATATTCAAGTTAACTAAATAAATCAAGTAATCACATTATTAAACAATTGTCCATTTTTCTCCTTCATTTTATTGTTGTTTTTTGAACAATCAATTCTCTTTAGTGTTAATGGAATCTTTAAAAAATTTCCGATAATTTTCTCCATAGAGATTTGAAATAAAAAATAACTAACAATTTTTTTTCTCTTTTAATATAATAATGATTTTGAAGTGTCAAATTTTATAGCGTTAATTAGAGTTATTCCATGATCTCAATATTATCACAACTCCGACCATGATAAGTAATTAAAATGTTATTATATAATTCACA